CGATATTTGCCGCGTGGAGGAAGGGCGCGTGGATCGGGTGCGAGCGCCCGTTCCATCTCGTGTGCAAGGGGGTGTACCGCGCGATCAAGAAGACGAACGCGGTTCATGTCGTCGACTTGAGCTGCGACCGGAACAAGGCGTGGCTGCCACACATCGTGCGCAAGCTGGAGGAGGAGTTTCGCATGGTGCGCTTGACCTGCGTGGGGGAGGGTGGGAGGGACGACTATCGGGGCGTTAAGGGCGTGCAGTTTCTCAACATGGACCCGTTTTCGGACCGGTTTCCGAACGGCACGGATATGCTTGTGGCGTACCGGTTTTTGGAGAAGAGGACATTGATTGATGCGATGCGGTTTTTTAAGAATGTCAAAAGCAGCGGTACGGTCAAGGTTTTGGCGACGGAGACGTTCCCAGCGACGGGGAATGAGGGCGGTAGGATTAACACCGCACTAGCGCCGTTTTGGTTTCCAGTCCCCGTGTTTCAATACGAGAATGAGGAGGAGAACACTGAAAGTGTCCCGATGCACATTACTGCCGTCAATGTGGCTGAGATGTTCAAAGAGAGGAACACGCCGGAGATGAAGGATCTCGTCGACCCGAGGAGGCGAATGGTGAGAGAGTAAAGAAAAAGGTACGGATAGTCAACATGTGTTGATTGTTTAGTGTTGTGTGTTGCTCATTGGTTTCCGGGCGACGGGCGCTCAATAGCAGCTGTGAGGAAGGTGGATGCTTGTGATTGCATGGATTGCACGGCGTGGAGCACGCCCGACACGCCAGCGGAGGCTGGGACGGTCATTTCTCGTTTAAACAGCACGGTCGCAGAGTGGGGCAGGCTCTTGATTGAATGGGAAACAGTGAGCGCTGGTGCAGTGTTGTTAGGATAGCTGTTCATGGCGAGGAAACAAGTAGGGGTTGGAGATGCTCGACACGCGGGACGCCAGAGGGGCAGAGGTGCGGAGGAGGTGTGAGTTCGGTCGTGTGCGGTCGTGTATGGCAGCAGGTGGGTGAGAGAGGCGACGAGGACGGACAAAAATAATGACACAAATGTGACAAATGTGGCGAAAATGTGTTTCCAGTGTAAATTCTTACGCCACGCCTTCGCCGTCACTCATTTCGTCCCCGGGGGGAACCAAGACCACCAAGTGTGACCACCAAGTGTGCTGCTTTGTAGAATCGCAGATGTAAAGGAAGTGAATTGAGAGGTGAGCGGCTTCCGGAAAAACGTTACTCCCCGAAGTTGCACAAATCCTGGGGAGCGAGAAATGTGTCCTCCTGTCCACTCCGCCAGCCCTGACTGGTCAAGAGCGATACACTAATAATTGCTGTACGTGGGGGGAGCTGGCAGCTGTGCTCGTTACTTGTACGTTGCTGTGCTACGAAGAAACTCGACACAAAATCTCTAGTCCTTGTCGACACGCCCGCCAAAACGGTAGTGACACGCTTCTTCTGTGATAGACAACGGGGAAGGGGAACCAGAAACAGTCAACGATGAACCGGAAACACCACCCCGACAGGTCACTGCAGGAACACGTCAAAACCCGACAATTCCTCGTCGCCATGCGTTGCTCTGCAATCCGCATCTTCACCGTTTACATAATTCCTATCCTCCGCCTCACCCCCCCTCCATCGCTTCGGCTCGTTTTTACTTTTTGTTTACACGTACCGGCCCACTCATCACACGCACGGCGCGCCCTCATTGCTTTGCCACACCGAGTTTATCTTTGACCACTTTCTTCGGACGAGTGGAAAGGCCGTGGAAGGTTGTACAACACTCTATCGAACGGTAGTCGATCTAACGCGCGGTGCTCTCGCGATTATTTTCTTTCCATGCACCTCTACCCAACGATGCCGCCTGCAGCTCGCTGTTGCTTACCCTCGTTAAACCTACCCGTCGCGTGTTCCACACGTACACACCTACATGTTATTGCTTCTGGCAAGTCTTCTCGCGTTGTTGCTATCAAGGTTTGGAGAGCTCCATTTTTTCTTGTTTGTTATGTTTTCACTGCTCATGTTAGATGACGCCGGCCTCACACGCCGCGAAGGGATGGAATGTCTATGTAATGACCGCATGTTAACCATCTCATCATATGCACCAAGCTTGCATATCCTAATTTACGGACCGGTTGCGACATCGCCCCAGCAAGACGATTTGGTCCGGAGAAAGTGGCTCGGTCTTTGCTTCCACACGCCTCAAGCCTGGCGAGCACGTTATCCCGTTGTTGGCCTCCTTGGATACTGTAGATACCCACGTCTTAACTAGGCGTCTGAGTGCGGGAGCATTCACGACGCGGCTAGAGTGTCTATTACAGCCTGGAAGTGCCACCGTCAACCAACTTGAAATCTTATTCCACTTGTCAGGTACAACAATGGAATTCGTTGAAAAGAATTACTGTTCTGGGCTTTTCATTTCCCATAAAGTCGTCATCACCCAACGCCTTCAATCCCTTGTGACGCAAGTCGATCAGTCTCACCCGCGATCACTCATGAAACGTCTTTTTAATCTGCATACTTAATGCATTACAGAGCAGTAGATGCTGTGGTGCAACCAAACAAACCTCCTTCCCCTTCCCCCTCCCCTCTACTCTCTTAGTGACTGCTTGCGTTTTGCCTTCTCTGAACAACAGCGGCAAAGCAGAGGTCTTGCTTCCGGAAGCCAGGACCACCGTGCTTCTCCGTTCACTCAAACTAGAATATACATCTGCTCTCTTTTTCGGTCGTTTTTGTGCACTCCTCCGCCATCACACCTGTTTACATCTGCACTGGGTGGGCATGTTGTGATAAATCACCAATCATACCTTTTGGTGTTAGAAAGTGAGTGATGCTCTCACAGGGATGCGCACACTTTCTACGACGGAAACGCTATCACTACATTTTGATTTGTCAATACGTCAGAGACCTCCACGCCATATTCTCTCTACAAACTCTCTACTCGGATCTTGCAGCGTTCTTCTGTAATCTGATGACATGGACCAAGGTAGTTCATCTACTCTTTCAATCTAGGACGTTAACAGTTGAGACTGAGGTGAAACAGATATCTAAGTAGGCATTAATTTGATACAGGTTTGCTTCGGTCATTCGATTGTATGTTAAGCTACACTACTTGCTGAGCCCAAGTCATGCCGCCAAGAAAAAAACACTATACATGTAGCGGCGAATTGTGTATGTTTTATGTGAATGATCACAGTATATCGCAAGTTGGTGCAGCACAGCATTTCTAACTCCTTGGCACCTTACCAAAACTGAAATTGTTAACCCTCGCCCCCTAGCGATATGCCGTACGATACACGGATATGAAGTACTACGAGAACGATTCTTTCAACCCTCAAAAAAGTATGCGTGGCAAGAGTTAAGAAAAGAAAATGTTAACAAACATCGCCGAACTTTTGTTGCTACGATGCTCTGTTCAACTCAACGTGAGCACATGCATCGAAAACGATTGAGTCGCAGCGACAAAAACCTGCTATCGTACCAACTGTCGATGATTGTCCTCTTCTCATTGACAGGAGCAGCAGTTACCTATCAGTGTAGAATCGTCCCTGTGAGGAGAGGTCATCACACGAATGAATCGTCGGCAGCGCTGCTCTTCCCGAACAAGAAATGGTTTCATTCTCGCCTCTCGGGAGACTCTAATTGGTTTATAAAGTTTCGTATGTTCAATCATAAAGGGAGGGGCTGGGCTACCTGTTTGCTTCGAACTCATAATTCACGCGCCGTGTCTTCTTGCTGGGCGCAATGCCGCTGCGCCAAATTTCAAATCATCTATCGCGGTCGAAAAAGAGTGCAGTTGTCATGAGCGGGGGCGTGTGAGGCTGAGGAGTATTCCCAGAAAGAGGACACGCAATCGCGAAGATCTCAACAATTAGGCCCTCTCTGTTGACGACTTTTATAACGACACGTAGTCCTTGTGCTATGGCGCATAGGGCTGCTATGCGCCATTCCGAGTTTTTTTGAACGCTAACCAACCCAAACTTTTGGGCGAACAATGAAACGGGCGTGGATCGAAGCAGTGTGACAAGCTCTCATGTTCTTCTTACATTTTTTTTATAAACACCAGCTGCACATCGCTGCCAAACAAGACCTCTCGATGTGCTGGTGTTGTTGCTTCAAATTGAGTATTATTAGCAAGACAACCCCGGGTCCGCCTGTACCGTACAGTATCCCACACGGGGGCACAGGTAGTACTAGATAATTGCCAGCTGCGTGATCATTAGCAAGCCCCCTAGAACAACAGGGGGACGACAGCGCGTCTTCAATCCCCTGATTAGCTCCCCGAATACTTCAGAAAAGCTCCGGTTGGAATCATGGCGTGGTCGCAACAATGATGGGCAGTCCGATACTGCTCTCCCTCAGTCGCTCTCTTCTGCTACGCTGTTGTCTTTCGCGTGGCCCCTTCCTGCAAAGAACATAAAGGTAGTCAGGGCATTGCAGAAAGAGTCTGCAAGTCTGCAATCGCAATATTGCAACGTACCAGGCATAGCCGCTTTTGCCATTTTGGTCAAGAATTGACGGCAGTGAGACGAACTGTGACGAGGGACTTAACTTTTGGTCGCTGAAAGTTAGGTTGACATTATCAGGTGGTCCTCCCGTGCTGATAGATCGTAACAATTCGTCATCATTTTCTCTTGGAATCCAAAGGCTCATTTCATTATCTTCTCCACGTCAGAAGTTGAGAGAGAAAAACAGATTGAAGCAAGTGGTTAAAAGGCAAAGCACTTGGACACAATGAGAACTCAAGAATACTCACACGGACATCATCGAGGAGAGTGGGGAAACAACTCATCAAGACATTCACAATCAGGCTGGATGGGTAACTCTACTGCAACACATGGTAGTTCCCGGAGCGGAGGCTCCGGACGGGGCGACTCAACCAAGGAACGGATGCGTGTAGACTACCTACTTAATGCCCCTGCTGGACGGTCTAGTGGAAATAACGGGCGCGGCGGGGACCATTCAAGCCACGGTTCCGGGATGAGCAGAAGCTCCAAAGGTAAAGCAAGTGGACATCACCATGACGACAGACACGGTCACAGCCACAGTAAGGACAGACATATGGACCAAGGGAACAGCGGGACGCCCAGAAGCATCACTAAGACTGGGGCGGCAAAGTCTTCGAGCAAAGACAAGAGCGAGGAGGACAAGCGAAGGTTCTCATGCGAGATCTGCGGGTTTGCATTTGCAATGCGGAGCAACCTGAAGCGTCACATTGTGACTGTGCACGAGGAACAGCGCCAGTTTAAGTGCGAGCTATGCGGGTCTGCCTTTGGGCTCAAGCAGAACCTGGCGACGCACGTGAGGGTCAAGCACGAGAAGAGCCGGCCGTACGGGTGCGAGGTGTGCGGACAGCGGTTTGGATACAAGCAGGTGCTGCAGAACCATCAGAAGAACATCCACGGATTCGACAGGACACAGTCGCGCCGCTGATTAGTCGCGTTCGACAGGACACGGTAGCGCCGCTTATTAGTCGCGTCCCGAAACCAGGCGTTGCCGTTTACCCACTAAGCCTTTTAGCTAACTTGAACTTCGTCGCGTAGACCGTTTTGTAAAAACTCCAACGTGTCCACGTGGCGCGCCACGCTCTCTCGGCGCCGCCCCTTTTTCGTACACACAACTCTGCCCTGTACGCTTCCCCCTCTTCCACATATCTCCACCCCTCCTTCTCCCGCCCGCCGTCATCACTCCCCCCCCCCCTCCCACACCTACCAACCCCCGTCACCCGTGCACCCCTTCCGTGCTTCCCATCTTTCCCATTCATCATGTGGCGGAAGCTCCGCGCCCGCCGCGCCCGCCGCTCCCTCAAACCCTCCGCCCTCGAGTCAA